GTGTTACAGCTACAGCTCTTACAAAGGACCAAGCCTCTTTGCAGGGCAGAGATCAGCAAAGGGCCAAGCCTCTTTGTAGAGCAGGATCAGCACTAGAAGTGCCGCAGCTCTCCTTCTTCCTCTGGATGGTCGCTGAAGTCTTCTTCTTCTTCTCTATCTTCCTTGAAGGTCTGCAATGATCTACCCCCAGGCTCTCTGCGGGGGGCCTTATATAGGTGTAATAGCTTAGCTGTGATTGGTCCATAAAATGGACCAATCAGGAGCAGGATTGAAAATGGACCAATCAGGGATGGGCACCAGTTTTCCCTTGATTGACAGGTCCTCTAGCGCTGCTCTACTGGAGCCTCTGGGGGAAGAAAGCTCCCTCGCTTGCCCCAACCTGCCGGTTTTTTTGCCAGCTGCTGCCACCAAGATAGAAGTGGCAGATCCCCTAGGCCCTGCTCGGCTGAGCTGGCTGGGTTGCCACTTTTCCGGTATCATGATGATTTAATATATGATGTGGAATGCTCAAATTGATCAACACAGCCATCACCTCACTTACTTTTTGTGGTAAGACATTTATAATATACTCTTAGTTGGTTTGAAATGTACCCGTGCATCATGCACATTAGGGGAGATCCCACCAAACACCCTCCCTCCACTCTCCCCGTTCTGTCATTCTTGATCCTAGCCTTCTATTAGCTCCCTAAAATACTTGAGTAGGTATTTCAACTCTTCCTTGGTTTTCTGTCATAACTGCCAAATCTGTTCCCCTGATCCTCATTGCTAACATTTACATTAGCAACACTTGGAGTCCTGTGAAAAAAGTGTACTCCATAGTACATTTTTCTGCCTTTTCTTAATACAGCTTTTTCTCCTGATTTATCTGTTATGCTACCTGAGTACGCTTTTTTGCTTTGTCAATGCCTCTACATCTCCTCTATGGAAAAATTTCAAACTCCTTAGTTAGATCTCGGAAGCCCTCCCTGTATATCCCAAATCTGCCTTTCCAGATTTATCTTCAGCTATTTTGTCTTTCAAATGGTTCAGGATGTACGTGGCCGCTCTTCCATTTGGAGCCTGCCACATCTTTAAAACTTACCCAGATTCCTTAGGAAATAGATGCATTAATACTGGCTTGAATTCTAACATTTCTGAAGTCATTGAAGGCTCATTGAGAGTTCAAACTGCCATCTTCGTATTCCCCTTTAAGTCTGCTATATTGCCTGCTCTAATTGGTGATGTTGTATTGTAGATTGATTAGTTAGATTTATCTAAAATGCACATGTGATTGTGTTACTCCCTTGCTTTAAAACCTTTTGAAGGCCCTTAGGCTAAAGTCATAAATCATTAAGTGGCTCATAAGTATAACTAATTATATATATCTGATAAACAGTATTCTTATACTGTTAAGTATGAGGGAGTGAGAACTAAAAAGACAATGAACAATGACAGATTTTTCCCTCAATACTTACATTTTAGGCCACGTGCCACCCCTATAATCCTAGCACTCTGGGTGACCAAGGCCAGTGGATTGCTTGAGCTCAAGAGTTCTAGACCAGCCTGAGCAAGAATGAGACCCTGTCTCTACTGAAAATAGAAAATTAACCAGGCATCGTAGCATGTGTCTGTAGTTCCAGCTACTCAGGAGGCTGAGGCAGGAGGATCTCTTGAGCCCGGGAATTTGAAGTTGCTGTGATCTATGCTGATGCCATGGCAACAGAGTGAGGTGGGTTTTTTTTTTTTAAGCTGTGAAAATATTCTTTGTTAAAAATTGTTTTCAATGAATATATTACAAGGCAATACCAAAGTTAGATTGAACGCTCAGAAGACAACACTTTTTTATAAGTGTTCTATGAGTCAAACTTGTTGGCAACAGAAAATAAGGCAAGGCAAGAATGTTTTCTTCACCTGCTCTATGTGGGTAGTAATACTCTAATAGCTATCCCTACAGCGATTATGTAATATGAGAATAGGCACCTTTAGAAACACACACAAATGGAGATCTATCACTGATTGGAAAGCAAAACTTTAGCAAGGAAATCTACCATACAGATTTGGAAGCCAAATATTTATTCCTCCTTAAGAGGGTGTATTCATTCCTTTCAAATAACATTCCTTCTGCTTTATTCCTGAAAGGATGTGAAGACTTTTCATTGAAAACACTAGGAAAAGAAAACGTAGACTGGGTGGCTTATAAACGACAGAAATGTATTTCTCACAGTTGTTGTGAGTTATTTCTCACAGAGGCCGGGAAGTCCGCAGTCAGGACTCCAGCAGGAGGCTGTCTGGTGAAGGCAGCCTCCTGTTCCATAAATGACACTTTCTTGCTATGTCCTCAAATGATGCAAGGGGACAAGGCAACTCTTTGGGGCTGTTTATATAAAGACTCTAATCCCATTCTTTTTTTTTTTTTTTT